GCAGTCCCAGGGGGTCAGTGGACGCCACTTCCGCTGCCGCCGCTGCCACGGCGGCGACAAACGGCGGCTTCGTCATCAGCGACGACCCAGCCGGCAACGACTCCTCGTCCGACGGTCCCCCTCGAGAGACCCACTACACGCTGCGGGCCGCCGAAAGGCGCCGCAGCAATAGTCACCGAACCCACACCCCGCCGCCAGACTACAACGATCTCACGTCATCGGACTCGTTTCGTAGCCTGGGATCCTCGACGTCGTCGACGTCGACGTCGTCATCCACGGCTGCTGCTGGCAGCTTCCGGCTCTTGCGGGCGTTGCAAAGAACGTTGTCGCAACGGAGTCGCGGGATGATAATGAGGATGGACAACGATGACGATGAGGAAGTGGCGGCGACGGTGGGGGAGGATCAGCAGCAGCAGCACCGGGGACGGCTTGTGCCATCATCAGCAGGCGCCACGGAGCTGGTGTCTGTGTCCACCATCGACCTGGAGTCCATCGACAGCACGGACGCCTGAATGTTATAAGCTGTGTTGATTCCCTTTTTTTTTCGCCGTATTTATTCGCAAATAAAGGCGCCATCTGTAATAAATTTCAGAGAGAATATCAAATGTTCAAGTCTTATGAATTGAAGCATTAAAAATTCTTGGGTCCCAATTCAATGTATCCTCAAAACTCTTAATCATACCGGTTACTTGACAAATATTTTATCAATACAGTATATTGTATATACGGTGATATATAGTCCCCAAATAAGAACACTTTTTTGATTTTTTCCTGAATTTCACTTTTCAAAATGTATGGATAATAATTAGTCAATTCCAGACAATCACCAAGATACAAAATAAACTTTGAAAACTGGATAGTTCTGCAGATTTTTAAAATCAAATTGGAACCTAAATTAATGTGATTCTGAAATTCACAATAAATTGTAAAGGTAAGAGAAGGGGCAAAAATTATATTCCCTTCTTTTCTCATTTCAAGAGTTTTTGGAATGATTCCAAAATTTTAGCTCAAGATTTGCTGCAATTTCATTATTTTTCCCAAAATAAAAATTTGGTATGTGAACTAATTTTCTTGAATGAGTCCCTTTCTTCCCCCTATTACAACATTTTTCTCTTCAAAAAGATTTGTTGTGTGCGACTTTTGTTAAGTGGAAGCCCACTGTATTAAAGACAATCTCAAGTTTCCCTCAAAGACTTGGAAAACCCTCTTCTATATTCAGTATGCAACTGATCCTTATATTTCAGTATTTCAGAAACTATATATTTTTTCATATTTTGGACGAAGGACGGAACATACTTTCAAATGATGAAGAAAGTGTGCAATGAAGTATTTTCCACATTCCCATGACCTACTGAAATTAAAGATGAGATGCTTTTCAGCAGTGCGTTCCTGTGTGCAGTATTCTTGACAATAGATTTTTGCAAGGAGCATTTTGTAATTTTTCTGTCTTAAATGCGAGTAGATACGGTCATGTTCTTTTCTATTTTGTTTCCTGTGATATTTTTCCTCGGAGGAGGGCAAGGCATTTCGGGTGGTTGTAAATATTCCTTTTTTGTGTATGTATGTATGATGAGAAGCATATGTGTGGACTGGAATGAATAATGCAGTGCTGATGAGAGGGATTGTTGTTGACAAAGCCGAAATTATGTGCATTTTATTCAAGTACTGCATCCCTTCATGAAATTGGGTTTTAATGTTCCCCATCAGAATAAGTATTTAAATTGTTGATAAATTTCAAGTTTTAATTAATTCAATTGAAATTTCAATGGGTGTATGATTTTTTCATCAATCATTGAAGGGAAATTTTATAAGCATGGATTTACTCCTGTGTTTCTCATCTGCTGCGCATATGACAGGGGGTAATGGGGGTTTAAGCAAAGCTGGCAAAAGGATGTTCAACATGATGACCCATTTTTCACAGAATTGCGTACAGTAGTTTACTTACAACTTATTGCTGTTGTTGACTCAATGTGTGATAGATACGGTTCTGGTGTACTATTTACAGCAGTAAAGAATATACTGTATGTACTATACGCGAATGCTCTATTTTACCAACATCATTAAATTTACCAGAACGGGCATCACGGTCGACCAGCCCTGAGACTTCGGTCATACATCATACTGTATTGTACAGTACAGTATATAGGATATACATACTGTACAATATTTTCGTATTAATTGGATTATTTTATTCGTTTTATTTGAAGTACTTTAAGTGTTCCGCCTATATATACACTGCCTATATACAGTAATATGCAGTATCGTACTGAACCGGGTGATGTAAGTTGTAAGCAGCTACCGCGTCAGTGATTTTGAATAATTTTACATAGATGTCGCTAGAAAATGCGCCGTTGTTTCCTATGAAACTACAGTACAGTACAATACTGTAAATCTGGTAGAGAGTGTGGTAGGAGAGCAATCCACGCGGAAAGCATCCAATGTCTGCTACTTCAACCGTCACGCCTCGCAGGAATGTCGTGTGTTTTTGTGGAGACTGTTGCTTCGCAGATTCTTCTCAGTTGGACGCTAAAACGCAGTGAATGTTTATTTGAAACCTTCGGAGTAGTGCCCAACTTTGAGAAAGCAATCACTGAGTAGCTTGCTTGATGGGTTTTGAGCAATTATTCTTGCGTGTAGGATGCAGGTCTGATTTCAGCTGTTCATTCTTTTGTACGCTTACAATCGTAATGAGATAACGTGTACAGTATTCTTGTTCTGAACAGATTTAATCAATATACTGTACTTAGGGTCGCAATAAGTTTTACGTGCGCAAGATTCATGTAGTGCCGAATCCCGTTCGCGATGCCTTGCAATGTGGGGAAAATCCGCTGACGCGTCAATTCGTGGGCTTTCATTGTTTTGCGAAACGTATCCAACTGCTCCAAGCAGCTGTAGTAAGAATTTGGTTGCTTATGAACAAACCTATTCCTGTTGTCCTTGAGCAGTTTTCCGTGGTTGAACATCACATAAATTGGCGGAGCTTCTGGATGCTTTGCTGTTGAACTTTCGCTTGGTTTTGAGAAGGTTAAGCAGCTTTGTCGGAAAATTTTCCTGAAAGGTAGTAGCGTTCGTCTATTCAAAGCATTCTCAGGGCAATACAGGTATTAGAATTGCGACATTACGGAAGGAAGAGAGCATTGCTTCAATTTAATGTCTCAACGAGGCATGTAGGATTTTTTATCAAAACTTGACAAAGCCGTCATCGGAATCATGTAAATGCATTGTGTAACTTCGATGTTGAGCACTTCATTTGATTTAGCGTGATGTCAGGAAAGATTAATGCAACATAAGGCAAAACTGGATTCTCGTGATGATTATCCAGAGAAATTGAGGAAGTCCCGATTTGTTTTGTTGAAAAACTCAACGTGTAAACTTGTATGACACGATTGAACATGTGATCACCGCAGTAGATGAAGAGGCCGTGGAATATGATCTGGTTATGCGGTATTTGTGACAGAACCGAGTACAGTACCTGTATAATGGTCGTTTCCAATCAAAAACCGAGGAAAATGCAATCCTGATTTCGTTCGTGGAAATGCTGCTTTTCATCCTACTTAAAAAGCTAGAAATTCATTTTATATTTGGTTCGTCTCGAGAGATTGGTTCGTTTCTGGCTAAAAAAAAAAGCCGCAGTGCTTTCACTTGCTGTGGAAAAACTGATTTTCATGCGCACTTCTGGAAAAGTGCACCTACGGTTAGTTTGCTCGATGCTTGATTTGATTTGTTTTTCCTCTTTCTCAACGTGTCAGCGCAGATTTCGACGCTTTTCTGAGCTCTTCTCAATTCAGCTCTCTTCCGAACACATTCTGCGAATTCTATTGTACGTGGCCAGTTCGCGCGACGCTCACCATTTCCTATAGGTTCTGAAGTTGGAAAGGCAATGCGGAACTGGCCCCTATTTTACCATTTGCTCTCCTATGAACTTTAAATTTCCACTCTTCGACGTGATTCAAGGCATGTGTAGAAAGATCTGGGTCAACTTTTGATGCCCGAAGTTGAACTGAGCTCCCACGGGAAAGGAAATACTGTGCTGTATAGTAGATCGAGGTAGAAGTCATACTTTCGTTACTTTTACATCAATATCAAAATCGAACATCATAAGGAAGTTAGACATCTATTGCATTTTTACTACCAATAAACACGACGAGAATACTGTATTACGAAATAAAAGGGCAAAATTAAGAGGATCGTTGATCTAAGACAATTTTAGAATCAAAACTAAGCTACACGCGTATTGTATGTCTTCTTGCCAAAAATATCCACTTTGAAATTGATGTCCGTTGGTAGGGCAGCTGCTATCAGTCACATACAACGTGATGAGGAAAATGTGCTGTGACGGTAATCATCGCTAGTGTTCTCTTCTTTTTTTAATGAAAAAAAAAACAATTACATTCACTTTTAATTCGGTGTTCCTTCCAGGTCACTGAAATCTCTTCGCGACTCGCTCAAGTCCTGAGCTCGGAGTCGGTGAATCGTGCGAAGTTTCGTGTCGCGTACATCTCAAGCCTCTTTCTTCACATTTTGCATATTGGCATTCTATACCTGACGCTTATAATTTTTTCCATTTCATCAAGACTACAATACAGTATGTTAGATCCGGTCAAATGTTGACCATTGTGTTGTTTATGGATGGAAAAGTATCATTCGTTTCGTTGAATTTTCCGAAGAACTCATCCCGCGACAAGAATTTCATTTCTTGCGGTTGACGTAATGCATTCTTGCGCAATTCTTCAGAATTTGTGATTCAAGCGACACCTGCGAGACATTTTTGTTGTGGAAAATCTACTGTTGAAGTTGTGAATGAAATGTATGTACTTCAATGGTTAACTAGGCACTTCTTCGTGGGCAATGAATAGTACACCTCATTTTTTCGATGTGTGACGTTGATTTAGTTCGTGTGGGGTTTCTTTTTTTAATCCTGTCTGTGAAATTCACCTCGCGGTTCTGATAGTTAGTGCTTCGAGTGAAACTAGGGACTTAGACTTTGAAGACCGAGTTCCTTTCTTCTATTTCACGCTTTAGGATGCGGAATCTCTAGTCAGAAAACGATGAAAAGATTATGGGAAGTGTTGGTGTCAGTTTCGGCGTTATTGGGCCTGTGTGACTGTCGGACACATGGGGTCGAGTCCAAGAAAGATGCTCTCGAGCCTGGTTACGTCGACATTCGAATGCCAGGGGCTTCGCCCATGGAGGTATTTGATCCTAATTTTTCTGCGAACATCGATTCTTTTGATCTTTCACGCTAGCAAATTTTTAACGTGCTTTTGGTTGTGGGTTTTCGAAATTATGTGAAGATTTCACGATTGTCTGAAAGTTTTTCTTTTGCTTGATTCACCGGTAATGCCTCGGTCGTCACTGTACAGTAGTTTAATTTTCAGAGTTATTCTTGAGGATTAGACGAATTGGGGCACTTGTGTATAACTATGGTTTATTCATGAAGATGCACTTTATTTTACAATCACTGAGGCTGTGATGGAAATACTGATTGAACTTCGCCAAGTTTTGTTTCCTCCGTATCCATTACTTGGACATATTTCAGTCCTATTGAATAATAAACAGGAGATTTGAAAGTGAAAACATTAGAATGGGCAACATTCGAATCAAAAGTAAATGATGGTCGTAGAAAACGTGCATCTGCGAGCGTTTGCCTAACCGATCATGTAAATATTCTCTGCTCATATTTTGAGGGTATCAGTTGGTGCTGGATTTTGGCACTTATTGATTTTGGCATGTGTGTATGTGTTTTTTTCATGCGGCATTTTCACGTGGATGTGAAGATTTTTCGACGCAAGCACGATAAGGTTTCCTTTCTTGAAATTCAATTCGTCCGAATTTCCCGTGCAGATCTTGATTGTTTTTTCTGAATATCTACAGATGGACGCGTATCTATGTTCAGCCAAGGTGATGACTTTTGAAGATGACGTATACATCACGAAGTTCGAGCCTTTGGGAACGAGTGCGGATACTGTTCATCACATGCTGATTTACGGCTGTCCGCAAGGAGCTAAGGACAGCGACATGTGGTATGTTTCAATTGGAGTCGAACCTCTTATACGTCGAACTTCAAGGGACTAGCAAAATATTTCGAGTTCTGCGAATAATAATTTTTGTTCAGGATTTGAACGAAGAATTGCAAGAAATTGCAATTGGTGATATTCTATGTTTTGAATTACTTTTTAAGTGAGTTAGACAGGATGCTGAACTTGGAGACAAGGGTAATGTGCTCAATTATTCTCTCACTTCCTTTCAAAACGCATCAAGTTACCACTTTATTGAGTTCATCTTACCTGCGTCAATAAAATAATAGCCCGAAGGCCCAAAGAAAATTCAAGTTGTGGAGGTTTCATGAAGAAAGAGGATTTTAATGCAGGATGTCTCTCAGAAAATTCGGAGAGGGGCTGAAAATAAAGGACATATTTCGAGGCATTTGATTCAGTGAGAATCACATGCATTCCGAAACGAAGTTCGGAATTTCTTCTTTTCTGGGTCGAATGAAAAAATAATAATTCCTAAATTATTATTCTTTTAAAGATTTTTTTTTATGTACTCATACCTCGTGAACGGGATGTATGGTAGGGAGAGAACATGGAGGCATTCGAGTTGTCGAGGTTCAACTGTCTGTGGTTGAATTGCGGCGTTTTTTTGTCCCGACACCCTGTTGCACCCATCGTTCAAAATTAATTGTATTGATGTTGACCTGGGCGTATTGTCGAGTCATGAGAAGCGTCGAGAAATTTTTCGATCAATATTGCATGTGCTTCGAAAGATGTGATGTCGATTATTTTTTTTGTAGGGATTGTGGACATCATGGAGTGTGTCCGGGATCGAAGATTATGTTTGCATGGGCTAAAAATGCGCCGCCTGCTTCAATGCCGGATGATGTGGGTTTCCGTGTGGCAGCTGGAGCTACCATTGTTCTTCAGCTTCATTATGCTCGAGCTCTAGGCAAAGAATCCATCACGGATAAGAGTGGAATACGACTTCATTACACTCCTGTGAAGTAAGGACGATTTTTCTGATTGGAAGCCAACTTATTTCACTTACATAAGGTCTAAAGCAAAGAGCTTTTTTAATGCAAGTAGCGCTATACTTATGACATGTCATGTCACGAAAAGCTATAATGTCCACTTGAGAGACAGAGAGAGAGAGACTACTACTTTTCTCTGTATAACAAATTTTCTTCTGGTCCCATGAGGGTTCTTCACGACGAAATTCAGGGGACCAGGAAAAATTTCTTCAGAGAATTTTGTTGTGGAGTGATTCTACCTGTACAACTACCTGTACATTCTACCTGTATAAGGAACTCTAAACTTGGAAACAAATGGAAATGCCTTGTCCAACATTTTTTTTTAAATGGCTGATGCTCTTTGCTTTGTGTATCCGGCTCTTCCTTACTTATGATGTTTTGCATTAATCTGTAATTTTCGAAATACAATCAAACCTGGATTCAGTGCCATCATTCGCACTGGCACATTTTTTGGCATTGAGCAAGGGTGGCAATAAATTGAGATGGTTGTATAAGATGAAGGTTCAATTGCAGGTTTTTTACATGTAAAAAATTAAGCTTATTCAGATTTTTGTAAGGTGCTATGTTTGTTTGATCAGAGAGAAAGCTGCCAGAAATACTGTCATTTGTTGAAATCCACTGTTTTTCACAGTACAGTGAGACTGCAAGATGTGGCTGTAATTGATGCATCAAGAGTGTCCCTATGAGTATCATTTTCCCTTAGACTTGCATTATATAATTTTTAATTGGTGTTTTATGGACAAAATATTCATCCATGGAAAAAAATTGTCTCTTAATTGAAACTGATTCAATTAATTTATTTCAACACCATAAAGACATCTGGAGCAATAAATACTGATACCTCTATACTGTAGTGTATTGAAATGTTGGCATTCTCTGCAAAAATAACATTCAAGTCAAAGAGAGAGAAGGAAGTCCCTTTATGCTGGAGGTAATTTTTTAATATTAGCTGAATGGCTGGTAAATTGATGAGAGAAATGCCAAAGAACTTTTCTTACATAGATTTTAGGGTTGGAAATATATGTTTCTTGTAGTTTGGCTTGAATCTTATTTGCAATTTTTGCACACAATGTCCATATGTTGAGTCTGTGTCCACATGTTGAGCCTTTTTATGCATCATTTATTGGAAAATGAGTGTCTGCATGTGGGGGTCTCACTGTATTTTGATCTGTTAAGTAAAATTTATTGAATTTTTTGTTTATAATGTCTATAGCAAAAGAGCACAGCTTTTTCTTCAAGTTTTGTTTGAGATTGACTTTTATATTGAGTGTCATCATGCAGGAGTCTCAAATATTTCCAGAAAAGCCTCTGCTTCATGTTCATGAATTTTAATGAAGTAGAAGGTGACATGCAGCAAAAAAGATATTTTTGAGCTATTCAGATATAGAAAGTTCAAAATTATTCTGAGTTTTTTGGAGGCGTGTGGTCGCGTTCTCAGTAATAACCCAGTGATATCCGTAGAAATATGCCTTAATTTCTTTGATTTTGGTCCATTTTTCACAAAAAGCGCGGTATTTTTGTGGCAGTATTTAAGGGTGGCATGAATTCGAGGGTTCACTGTATGTCTTCTGTGTCAACAGATTACTTTTGTATGAAATTAGCAGCCGCTATCTTCCAATTTCTGTGACATTGAAATTTTCCTGGCAACAAATGAGCAGATCGATTATTACGATTACATCGTCGTAACTTTTAAATTGTGGCTAAATCATTCCTTGTTTTTTTTGTTGTCAGAGTATAATTTCTGAATGTTTGAGTTTATCGCGTGGTGAAGCGTTTTGATGGCCCATTTATTTCTTCCAGGCCCAAAGCATTGGGAGGCATTTATCTGATGGTTGCTGGTTTCAACATAGACATTCCACCTCATAAAGAAAGTGAGTCTTCACCCGTTTCATGGCCGGACTTAAATCTAAAACCATGAAGTCTTTTCGCTGAAAACCAGATCTTGTTTGTCGGCATGTGCATCTCGTGTCGCCTGAATCACTCATCTGACNCGTATTGTCGAGTCATGAGAAGCGTCGAGAAATTTTTCGATCAATATTGCATGTGCTTCGAAAGATGTGATGTCGATTATTTTTTTTGTAGGGATTGTGGACATCATGGAGTGTGTCCGGGATCGAAGATTATGTTTGCATGGGCTAAAAATGCGCCGCCTGCTTCAATGCCGGATGATGTGGGTTTCCGTGTGGCAGCTGGAGCTACCATTGTTCTTCAGCTTCATTATGCTCGAGCTCTAGGCAAAGAATCCATCACGGATAAGAGTGGAATACGACTTCATTACACTCCTGTGAAGTAAGGACGATTTTTCTGATTGGTTCGGTTGAATAAAGTGAATGTATTCCAGATTTCGTTTCTCGAAAAAATTACGTTCATCGCGATATGAATACTGTACAGTACAGTGCTTTTCGATATTACAGGTGAACTCTCTGTCTCTCTCTCTCTACTACTTTTCTCTGTATAACAAATTTTCTTCTGGTCCCATGAGGGTTCTTCACGACGAAATTCAGGGGACCAGGAAAATTTTCTTCAGAGAATTTTGCTGTGGAGTGATTCTACCTGTACATTATGAGTAACTCTAAACTTGGAAACAAACAGAAATGCCTTGTCCAACATTTTTTTTGAAAATGGCTGATGCTCTTTGCTTTGTGTATGCTGTTCTTCCTTACTTATGATGTTTTGCATTAATCTGTAATTTTCGAAATACAATCAAAGCTGGATTCAGTGCCATCATTCGCACTGGCACATTTTTTGGCAGTAAGCAAGGGTGGCACTAAATTGAGATGGTTGTATAAGATGAAGGTTCAATTGCGGGTTTTTTACATGTAAAAAATTAAGCTTATTCAGATATTGTTGGAGACCAAAGTCGTCAGAACAAGAAGGTGCTGAAAGGAGAATTTGGAAAATAAAATGATAAAAGAAACACAGAATCAGCCCAGGACTGGGGCTGGGAATTCATGGTGGAATCCCTATTTAGAATTAAGAATATATTTTGAGAAGTCCCAAGTTAAGGATTTGAAAATGACAACAAACACAACACAAGTTTGAAATAAGCAAGTATTTAGATAACAAAAACCTCTCAAAAAGCCTCTGAAAGCACTGCTCTGGCAGCAAGATTTGAACTGTAACTGTGTGACAATAAAGTCGGGGTATTCATTAATTTCTTCTCTGGTCCTTGATCAAGGGCAGGAGAATCTGGAAGGCCTGGGATTGGCAGATAAAACAGTAATCAAAGACGTCTTGGCGCCAAGAAAGTTTAATTTTTTCTGGGGGAGGGGAAAGCCGTTGACAGATTTTGTCCGTTTTTTACGCGCGGGTGGTTTTCCACCCAATTAAATTTTTATAATTGATTTTTGATTTGGGGTGCGCAGCAAGTCCCCAACAGATACTTCTAAGGTGCAATGTTTGTTTGATCAGAGAGAAAGCTGCCAGAAATACTGTCATTTGTTGAAATCCACTGTTTTTCACAGTACAGTGAGACTACAAGATGTGGCTGTAATTGATGCAGCAAGATTGTCCCTATGAGTATCATTTTCCCCTAGACTTACATTATATTATATTTAATTGGTGTTTTATGGACAAAATATTCATCATAATTGAATGGAAAAATTTTTCTCACAATTGAAACTGATTCAATTAATATATTTCAACACAATAAGGACATCTGGAGCATTGAATACTGATACCTCTGTACAGTACATTGAAATGATGGCATTCTCTGCAAAAATAACATTCAAGTCAAAGAGAGAGAAGGAAATCCCTTTATGCTGGAGGTAATTTTTTAATATTAGCTGAACAGCTGGTAAATTGATGAGAGAAATGTTGAAGAACTTTCCTTACATAGATTTTAGGGTTGGAAGTATTCTTTTTCTTGTTATTTGGCCTGAAACTCATTTGTAATTTTAGCACACAATGTCCATATGTTGAGTCTGTGTCCACATGTTGGGCCTTTTTATGCATCATTTATTGGAAAATGAGTGTCTGCATGTGGGGGTCTCACTGTATTTTGATCTGTTTAGTAAAATTTATTGAATTTTTATGTTTATATTGTCTATAGCAAAAGAGCACAGCTTTTTCTTCAAGTTTTGTTTGAGATTGACTTTTATAACAAGTGTCATCATGCAGGAGTCTCAAATGTTTCCAGAAAAGCCTCTGCTTCATGTTCATGAATTGTAATGAAGTAGAAGGTGACATGCAGCAAAAAATATATTTTTGAGCTATTCAGATATAGAAAGTTCAAAATTATTCTGAGTTTTTTGGAGGCATGTGGTCGCGTTCTCAGTAATAACCCAGTGATATCCGTAGAAATATGCCTTAATTTCTTTGATTTTGGTCCATTTTTCACAAAGAACGCGGTATTTTTGTGGCAGTATTTATGGGTGGCATGAATTTGAGGGTTCACTGTATGTCTTCTGTGTCAACAGGTTATTTTTGTATGAAATTAGCAGCCGCTATCTTCCAATCTCTGTGACTGAAATTTTCCTGGCAACAAATGAGCAGATTGATTATTACGATTTTCATCGTCGTAACTTTTAAATTGTGGCTAAATCATTCCTTGTTTAGTTTTTTTTGTTGTTGTTGTCAGAGTATAATTTCTGAATTTTTAGTTTATCGCGTGGTGAAGCGTTTTGATGGCCCATTTATTTCTTCCAGGCCCAAAGCATTGGGAGGCATTTATCTGATGGTTGCTGGTTTCAACATAGACATTCCACCTCATAAAGAAAGTGAGTCTTCACCCGTTTCATGGCCGGACTTCAATCTAAAACCATGAGGTCTTTTCGCTGAAAACCAGATCTTGTTTGTCGGAATGTGCATCTCATGTCGCCTGAATCACTCATCTGACCAAACATGATCTAAAAAAAAATCATGCGTGACCGATTAAAGTATTACGGGACTCCGGCTAAAAATACGTGAACAAGAGTTGAGCACCTCGAGTCGTCATTAATGAAAACAATTAAATTACGCCCTTTATTTTTCAATATTTCTCAGACGTCACTGCGGATATCAATTGTTTCTCGAAATCTCCGGTGCCGATCCATGTGTTTGGATTCAGAACACATGCTCATGCTTTGGGCACCATCATCACGGGCTACAAATATTTTCCGACAGTGAGTTTTCTTGCGGTTTTTTTTTTGCGTGCGAAAAATGGCATTTGATTTAATTTTCTCCTAGGCTGGGAATTACGAGTTGTTCGCCAAAGGAAACCCGCAATGGCCGCAAGCCTTTTACCCACTCAAACCACCTTACGAGATCGCACCCAAAGACATAATTGCTGCCAGATGTGTTTATAATTCTACTACGCGAGACACGCGGACGACTGTTGGTGAGTGTTCGGCGTGTACAATTTATTTCTGGGAGAATATTTTTTAAAATGATTTGCGTGTCTCCGAAAGGAATGACGCATTTGAAGGAGATGTGCAATTTGTACCTGATGTATTACACGGATATCGAAAGCGGCGACGATTTCTTCGAGTGCGTGGATGACGAATTGAGACTTCCGCCGCTGCCGGAAAGCTCTTTGATCCCGCCGCCGAAAAATGCCGCCTTGGAAGAAGTTGCCGTTGGGAAAATGGGCCACGATGGACACGTTATGAACGTAAGTTCACGTGTGACTTATGCGCAGAAATTCGAGGCGAATTACAGTGTTATCTCGTTACAACGAACTCGCGAGGGACCTCATGAGACAAATTCTATGTATTGAAGCTCTGGGTTTTCAAGAAGTTTTAGGCTCAAATTTTTGTGAGAAGTGCTGGAAAGTGCTTCTACGACAAATAATAATTTAATACCTGTCATAAATTGCGTTCTTGTGTGACTTTCGCGTGAAATTCGAATTAGGGTGAAATCAATCGCAGGGACCTTATGAAAATTCCTTCTTTTGAAACTCTTGGTTTTCAACGCGTTTTCGAATGCAATTTTGTGGAAAATGGATGAAAAATACTGTGAAGTACTTTTACAACAGCTAATTCAATAAGTCTCTCAGATGAAATCAAGTGGAAAATTTTTGAATTAACTTGTCTTATATTGAAACTGCCTTTCTACCAATTTGCTTTTTCTTTTTTCAGAAACAAAGTTAAACATAAGTTCATGTGGAGGAAATTTTTCTGTCCTAAATTAACTTATTCATTCTTACCATTTAAAATAGAGGAGTAAATTCTAACATCGTACTATTTATTTGAGGGAAAGGCAGACCTTCTCAAATGGAGTCGAAGAATTTTCAAGGAATATAGCATGATGTATTTTCTTGAATACTAAATTTCCTTTGCAGAAAGGTTTGTCTCTCGGTGGATTTTTAATGTTGCAAGATTTAGATTTTATGTTTGCCATTTATCAAATAATCTCTATGACCCATGCACAGGGCCGACAATCCGTTACACTGAGATTACAGCTAGAAATTAGTTCGTTAAAGCGAGATTTCTGTAACGTGTGTTTCATGGAGAAACTGCTGATGTCACGAAAAAAGTTCTTTTTAACCGGATTCTTTGTAATGGAATTTTAATATATTTAACGGTTGGAAGCGTGACAAATCTTGAAGAAGTAGAGATTTCTTCCTTCGTGAAGATTCGAAAGTGTGAAAAAGTCTGGTCGACTGACCTTGAGAAATATGGAAGAAGATTTGAACTTCGTGAAAAATCATGCTCTTGATCTGAGTGTATTTGCATGCCTTTTTCGTTTTAAATCGCGAATTATCTGTCACATGCTTTTGCGAAGTGGGCTGTAAACCTTTTTCATCATTTGTACAGGGGAATGTCCATCCAAGGAAAGACAGGCGATGCGCGGCGTTGGNCGTTTTAAATCGCGATATTATCTGTCACACGCTTTTGCGAAGTGGGCTGATTTTTTTTTTTTTTAGGCGATGACTTATGAAGCCGGACGTAAGAAACAACTGACTCAACCAACTGAAGTTGTGACTAAAACCTCAGTGGAAGAAGCAGTGGACCCGTCTGCTTATCCTGTTCCAGGAGTCAGTCTCAAGCAGTATTACAGCAATCCAGTTTTCGATCCTTCCATGAGTCTTGGTGCGAATCAAGAAGCCTTGAGTAACCCTTGGGGTGCCTTGGCTGAAGAAGCGCGTGGTGAGTTTTATTTCTTCTCCCACTTTTTTTCTTGTTATTTAACCCGAAAGATCCACTTTTCTGCATTGATGAAATGTTTTTGTTGAAAACGCTGCCATTGGATCCATCTGAAGAGTTTAATGACGGTCTAGCAGATTATCAGGAGTTCGATTATTACCCTGGCGATGATTATTCGCCGGCTTATGACGAAACGAGTCCTGTTTGGAGACTTGGAGCTCGTTCGGATCGATTACGTGAAAAATCTCGAGCCACTGACGACCAGCGAACGAAAAGTGGTCGACCGTCGAAGCAAAAAGTTTCCATTGGTAAACCCTCGAGTGTGCTGACTGTTTTTTTTCTTTACGAAAGCGGTGGCTTTTTTTTTTGTCGAGTTCTTTTCACTTTGACGCTCGGTGTTTCCGTCTGGAATGTCGGACAGGTGTCGCTTGAATCACTCGTGACACCTGATGAGGGCACGTACAAATTCCCGACTGGGGAGATGCCAACGCCGCGCATCGCCTGTCTTTCCTTGGATGGACATTCCCCTGTACAAATGATGAAAAAGGTTTACAGCCCACCTAAACTAACCTGACCTAACCTATCCTAACCTAACCTAACCTAACCTATCCTAACTCAACCTAACCTATCCTAACTTGACCTAACCTAACATAATTCAGCATAACCTAACCTAATCTAATTGACTTTAACATAACCTAGCTGAATATAACCTCACCTAATCTAACCTAACCTATACGTACGGGAATGTCCAACCAAGGAAAGACAGGCGATGCGTGGCGTCGGCATCACCCCAGTCGGGATCTTGTCAGTTCCACCTGATGAAGGAAATAACCACCTGTGGAATTATCTGGCGTTGAAGCGAAAAGAACTGATTTTTATTTTGTTGGTAAACGCCTCCTTTTTTAGCTTTATTCTGTCCCTAGTTAGATGGCTTTTTTTCGCGGAATTTTGTTTACTGTTATGGTTCATTCATGTTGTATTGCAGTTCGCCATGCATGTCGATGTGATTTGCATGTTTCCAGTTGTGCTAAGGTTCGCTTTTCCAAATCTCAGTAAAAATATTCTTCGCTGAAACAGATGTGCGATTTCAATTTTTTTCATTTTAGAAATGCACTTGGTTCCCGAATGGCCGACGTTGGGAGAAGACGTGACTTTGGGCCAAGTTTCTGCGGTATCAATGACGGAAGGAGGCATGTTGGTGGTGTTTCATCGCGCCGATCGGGTCTGGGATATGAGCACATTTGACCGATCGGGTCGACTGAAGCATCCCGAACTGGGTCCGATCAAGTCGAATGTCGTGCTGTATTTAAATCCGGAAGATGGAGCCGTCATCGGGTCTTGGGGCAACAATACGTGAGTTTTTACCTTCCTTTTTAATGCAGCATTGTTGTTTGATGGAGACATGTGTGCAACCTGTTGTCCGCAGAAGTTTTTTTTTTTTTTTTTTTTTTTTTTTTTTGTTTTTTTTT